CAATTGGCCTCTTTTTAGATAGCTTAAATATCGCAGGTAAAAAAATTGAAAACGATCAAAATGAAATTAATAAGAATTTAGTTGGTTTACAAGAATCATTTAAAGAAAATCTGTTTGAAGATTTTTCTGAGGTTAAAAACCCCCAAAAACTTATTTATTCACTTATTAATTAAATTTTATATTGATATTAATTCAATATTATTTTGATAATAATTAAATATTAAATTGTTTTTTTTATTATTTTTTTTCTTACTTTTTTTGCTATTTTGCTAATTTTCTTCTTATTATGAGTCTTCATATATATACACTTTTAAAAAAACATATACATATGTACCGAAAGAGGGAATTGAAAAATAAAGAAATAAAAACCCTTTCAAATAAATTGACGTTTAGTAGACTGGATTTGAAAATACCCTCTCTCAAAAATTCGTTAAAAAATAATTAATCATTTTTAGAAAGAATTTTCACAAGGATAAAACTTAAAAACTCAAATTTCCATGAGCAAATTCAAAAACACTTTTAAAAATATTTTTTAAAAATTATAAGCAAGAAATAAAAAAAAAAAAACATTTCAAATCAAAGATAAATTTGTTATAAGCTATTTCCAAAAAAGGAGTGAAAATTATTTTTTCAAATATCACAATCAAACTGAATTCACAGAGTAACTGTTCAAAAGTCGAAAACTATTATTCCTCATTAATTGATCGTAAATCATTATTCAATTTATCAATAACAAATAGCCACTTTAAAAAAAAAAATGATAATTTCTCATCTTAATTTTAGATCATATTCAGAGTTTAAATTTTGATTCTTTAAAAAAAAAAACAAAAATAATTCTTTTTTTTGATTCCAGGTAATAAAATAATTCTTTTTTTATTCAAATTGAAATATTTCCTTAATTTTATGTTTGAATTTGGGGTTTGACAGAATCTAATCATTCTCAATATTTAATACTTTGAAAAATTTTATTATTTTTTTTATTATTATTAAAAAGGAATTTAATATTTCTCAAAAAAATAAATATAAGAGGTTTTTCTTATTGAGGTTTTTTTTAATCATTTTTTAGCAATAATAATATTTTTAGGTTTATGCATTAAAAAAAAATAATTTTAATTTAATTTGTAATCAAAATAATCTTTTTTTTTTTTTATAAAGTTTTGATACTAAATAATCAATTTTTGTTTTGGTTTGTTAGAATATCAAGAAATTAATTTTAGATGTTTTTTGGAAAATTATTTAGTAAGATAACTTCAAATTTTAAGAATTTTGAACAAAAAACATTCAATAGGATTAACTTTGTAATCATTTTCATATTATGATCCCAACTTGGAAAAATTTCATGATTCTAAAAATTCCTAAAACAGAACTTTTTGTGTAACTTTGAATTTATTATTTGGGTGTGAAAATTTGTGTGGTATTTTCTTCTTTTTGATAATAAAAAAAATCTTTAAATAGAGTCCGAATCTTAATAGAATTTTGAATAAATCAAAATAGGGTTACTACGGGTTCATTTTATTATTTAAAAAATCATTTTTATTCTTGTTATTGTATATGTTTTTTTTTTTTTTATTATTATTCAAGTTGATTGTTATTCTTTTTGTACCAAAAGATATTTAATTTTTTTTTAATTTTTTAGGAATATTCTGAAATACATATTCTGAATTGTAAACTTTAGACCCTGGTTCCATTATTTTTAATATTTCTCTGAATAACAGTATTTATAATTTTCCAATATGAAGACTTTCAGAGATAATAATATTCAAAATATGTATAAAAAAAGGCCAATTTTTTGGGAAAAACTGTGAAATGTTCCAAAGAATCTGTTTAAAATAATTCCTCATTTTTAAGAAATTTCTCTTTTTTTCGTTTTTTAAAGATATTTTTTAATTTCTTCATTAATTTGTAGGCAGAAATAATATTTTTTTTAGTTTTATGTTTTTTTATAAAATTTTTAAATATTTTTTTTTTGAGGGTGGTTGTATGGTTATAAAAATTGTAAAATTTTGCTTAAATTATTTTTTTATTCTTTTTTTGTCTTGGTTTTGTTTTTTAACTATCCAATAAAAATATGATACATACATAACAATAAAAAAAAACACATATAAAAGGTAGAAGTGTTGGTATTTTTTTGATCTTGAGAAATTATAATTAATTTTAAATATTTTAGAGTTAATTGGATATGTATAAGGTAAGAGAAAATAGGCCGAACAAAAAATAAGAAAATAAAAAACCAATGATATAAAAATATGAAAAAAAAACAACAATAATTTTAAGAAAATTATTTACGCAATACTCAATATACGAAAAACTCCACTAAAGAGCTTTTTCCTTTTTTATTACTTTTTTTATTTTTTATTTCTCTTTTTCAATTTGATGAAATTATTTTTAAAATTTTTGAAATAAAAATTCAATATATATTCATATTGGTATTTTTCAATTTAATTGTACCCTACTTTTCTTTTTCCCCCCTTTCAGTTCATATTAAGAAAAATATAAAATGAATATAAAAATAATAAATTGATACAAAATATATTGTAAACAGAAGGGGTGTAACGAAACTTTTAGATCTTGACTAGAGCTTTAATATATCTTAATATGTAAATATTTACAATTTTTGCTAGTAAATGTGTAAAATTTAATGCATCACCCAAGATTTAAAATGATGTTAAAAAAATTATTGCTTTGTACTACAGTCAGTTTCAAATTTAAGGCACAAACTTTCAAAGAAATTTAAGGCACAAGAAAATCTCAAATTAAGGCACAAAATTCAGATTCTAGTAAAAATAAATTGTAAAAAAAAAAATTAAAAATTTTGTGCTTTAATTTGAGATTTTTTTGTGCCTTAAATTTTGTTGAAAGTTTGTGCCTTAAAAGTGAAACTGACTGTAAATAAACCAAACTTTAAATAAAGTATCACTGAAAAAGTAGAAAAATCAAGTGTTTTGGATAATTACCCTTTAAAAAAGAAAGAAAAAAAAAGAAAAATCATACATATTAGAGAATAGCCTTGATCTGCATTAAGTAAAAATAATCAATGAATATATTTTTTTTTTATTAATTGAAAAACCCAAAATTCTTAATAAACCTATTGAAAAAAAAACAAAAAGGTTCATTTTGGTCTTCAATTCAAGATTCAACTAAAATTCAGAAGAAATTAAGATTATTTTTTTTCAGTCATTTTCACAATTTGAAGAACAATAGAAAAAAAGGGATTTTATCCAGTAGACATATGTCTTGCATTATATATAAAAACATACACACACACACACATATATATATATATATATATATATATTCCTTCGTTAAAAAAAATCGAAAAAAATAAAGAAAATTGCAATCAAAATGTTAATAGAACTAATTTTTTTTAATATTTCAGAACGTATTTAATTAGTTTTTTTAAAATTACATACATTTTAATTAATGATATTTTGATGTTAATATTTACTGATTTCGAGTAACATGAAATAAATAATAATAATACAGTCAGTTCCACTTTTAAATGAAAAACGTTCAACATGGTTAAAGGAACAAAAAAGTCTCAAATTAATGAACATTTTTTGAATTGATTTTTTTACACAATTAATATCCAAGAATTAAATTTTGGAACTTAATTTGAGATTATTATTGTACCTTAAAATTCATTGATAGTTTGTGCCTTAGAAGAGGAACTGACTGTAATCAAATACCTCATCACACGTATCAATTCAAATATTTTAAAATTGACTTACAACCTTAATTTTATAGTAAATTGATTTAATATTAGTTCTCATTATTAATAGAGCACGTATTTACATAACAATCGAAATGAACGCCTTTCTCAATTTGGGGAAAAGGGTTATCATTTTTAAAAAGAACTCCTTTCTACCAATTAATTTTGAGTAAAAAGGCCATGATCCTTTTTTGTTTGGATCTTTGAATAAAACAAAAAAAAAATTTTCAAAACATTTTTTATTGTTATATAATCTTACTTTGAGTAATTTATGACAGTTTGTATCAACACTACATTTTCAATTTTTAATCTAATTTTAAAAATATCAGAAAAATAAATGAATGAATATTACAGATCAGAATATATTGTTCTTTTATTTTATTCACTAATATTTTTTTAAATTATTAGAAATTTAAAAGATTTGGAAATATGTATTTTCAAATTCATGAGTAGAAAAAACAAAAAATTTTATTATTTAAATCAGTTTTTTAAGAATATCTTTGTTTTAAAAAAAAAAAATAATAATTATTAATTGGAAATAATCTTATCTATTTATAAAGATTTAACAATTTGGGAAAAAATAGCGAAAGCTATTGATACTTTTAATCTTTGGATTATTATTACTTCCACTTTCTGTAATATTATGATTTGATTATTAATTATTGATGAAAAATACTCAAATTCAAAAGTATTTCTTTTAGTTACAAGTAGAATTTTCCATGTATTTTAGAAAAGTATTTTGACTAGAATTGTGAATTTTATGATAAGGTTTTTTTCTTGTATTTTTTCTTGAAACAAAGAAAACAAAAAAATTGAATTGGTTTCCATTGAAAAAATAATTATATTTTTTCAAAGTTTAAAATAATTATTGTAATTTTTTTGAAATTAAGCAGATTATTTATATTGAGTTATTCTAAAAAACAAGAGGTGTTCTTTTTAAAGTGTATTTTTGTACACTCCGATTTCTTCAGAGATAAGATTTAAATCTTCTTTGAAAAAAAATAATTGTTTTAGAAAAATAATTCAGTAATATGTCGAATCGTGTATTTTCAAGTATGAGAAAAATGGATCAACCTTTTTTAAATACAATAATTAATTGCTGAAAATCAAATTAAAAGAAAGTTTTCAGTCTTTTAGTAATGGACTTTTACTTCACTTTTTCATTCACTTTAATTATGACCAATTTAAATTAACAAGAATCATTAAAATTTTTGTTTTAAGTTTACTCATCACTTAAAACAAAAAAAAATATTCTGGAAAAGACTGATTCAACAGAAAAAAGGATAAAAAAAGCGCGAGAGTGGAATTGAACCACTGACCTATTTGCATTTCTTATGTCTGTGTTGACGAGACACTGCCCACCAGGGCGAAGGTTCGAATGAGAAGAAAGAACCTTTCAAGAATTGAACTTATAATTGCAAATTGCTCTTCGGGCTGAGCTACTAGCGCTGAAATCGGAAATAGTTTTGGATTTGTTTTTTCAACTTTTAAATAAATTTGAAACAAAATCTCCTTACAAAGTCGAATAAATTTCAAAAAAGGAAATCCACAAAACTTCATAGGTGTTGAGAATAAATATGTGACTGTTTTGTGTTTGTAACTGAACCATTTCTTCGTTGGTACTTTCTTTTTTTTTAGCCAAGATCATAATCACCCCAAAAGTCAAAATTGTAAAAACTTTTTCAATTTTTTTGAAATTAGTAGATTTTTTAAACTTAGTTATTATAGAACTTAGTGGTTTAATTTTTAAAATGTATTTTTGTATACTCCGTTCGAAAGCAATAAGATTTCTTTCTTCTTGCTAAAAAACATAATTTTTACTTTGGAATAAAATTCAGAAATATGTTGAATTTTGAACTTTTCAAAAATTAGTAAAATGGATCAAAAATTTAAAAACAATAATTCATTTCTGAAAATAGTTTTTAGAATAAGTTTGATTTTGTAGTAATCATATTTTTTCTTCATTTTTAAATTTCAAGATTGGTCAATTTTTTTTAAGAATTTGCTTTTAAATTGACTTGAAGATTTTTTTGAGTTTATTATTTACCGAATGAGATATTCATAAAGAATACAAACGAGATCAAAAAAAAAACTTACAACGAATTCAAATTAGAACTCTTACATTCGAAAACTGCATAAATGACAAAAACTGATAACAAACCCACTTCATTTTTTTTTCATTTCTTATTTCCAAATGGACGAAACTTTGAATCTTTTCTCTGCTTCACAAGAGTCGGTCGAAAACTCAAGTTCAAGTCTTGAAATTGAGTCAATGGATCTTGATAATAAGGGAATATACAGATACACCTCAAGTTCTGATGAACTCTTTGATCTTGAAGTCTTTTTGTCATCAAATAACAATAGGAATTCCGAGAATAATGAAGAGGCAAATGAGAACAGTCCACAAACCAATTCTTTCTGGGGCAATGAAATGGATAGCGAAGAAATATTTGAACAAATAGAACAAGAAACAAAAATCAAAGAAGATGATAAGGCAATTTTCATTATTAATTGTGGAGAGGATAGACAAGTTACCGAAGTTCCCCCACCTACAAGAGTTCTCTTAACATACGAGGAATTGTTTAGTGAGTTTGATAATTGTCCAGATTCCTTTTTGTTACGTGAGCATTTAAGGCAAGAAGGCAAGATTGAAAAAAAGGCAATCCTTGAGATATGTTACCAAGCGCAAACAATCTTCAGAAAAGAAGACAATTTGTTACACGTAAGATCACCCATCATTATCGTTGGAGACTTGCATGGACAATTTTACGATTTGTTGAATATACTTGCGGCTTGTGGCGAATGTGAAGAAGGCATGAAAAATTATCTGTTTTTAGGTGATTATGTCGATAGAGGCAATTTTGGCATTGAAGTCGTTCTTTATTTGTTTACGCTCAAGATATCTCAGCCAAATGGATGTTTTTTATTAAGAGGTATTAAATCCAATTTTTTTTTTTTAAATAATTGTTGGTTATTTTACAAAAATCATTTATTGTTTTGTTTCAAACAGTTTCCAAAAAAACAAAGATCGTCTTCTTTAACCTTTTTTTGATTTCTTTTTACTACAATTTCTTTCTTTTATTAATTAATAGGGTAAAACTTTTTTTTTTACATCTTTTTACTTGTTAATTGATTTTAGTGAAACGATTAAAACCAAACAAAGTTTCGAAACAACTCCCTTTTGTGGACATACACTATTCAACAATTTTTTTTTGAAGAACCAAAAAAAGAAATACATTGAATCAAAGCACAAAATACTTTTTCAAAACAACAAAAAAAAAAAAAAAAAAAAAAAGTAAGAAATTTTTTGGATTTTTTAAAAAAAAATCTTTCAATCTCTTTTTCACTGATCAAACGAATGTACAAATAATTTTTTTTTGTCCGTTTTGAAGAAATTGCTGTTGAGCTATTTGGAATTAATTTCCTTTTTAAGGGAGGAGGTCCATAAACAAAAATATTTTTCACTTTTTTTCTAAAATCAAAAATCGATCAAAAATTCCAATTGTTCTGAAGAGTAGAACATCTTGGTTATAAAGCTTTAAAATACACCATTGGTGTAGACAACCCGTGTTGACAACTGTTAACCCATTACATTAAATTAACTCGTGTTTTTTTTTCAGGATTGGGTTTTTGAAGAGAGGAAGGCAGATCTACTATAGTCAAAATAAAACGTGCAAAAAAATTTAATCCGTGTTTCAAAATAAAAAGCGTGTTTTTTTGTTATAGAAGACCTACATATTACCCGATCAAAGAAACTGATAATAAACCCTAAATAAATATGGTATAAGGCTTCTTAAAGTTCTATCATTTAAAAAGAAATTCTCAAAAATGAAGGATCAAATTGCAAAATTTATCTCAAAAAATAGAGTAAATTTTTATGACAATTTTTAATTCAAAAAAAACCAAAAATCTCAAAAAAATTGAGAATATTATGAAAAATTTTCAACAAATTTCATTCTCAAATTAAATTTTACTGAAAATAACCAGGGATTTACCTTCTAAATTGATTTGAACTTAGGTATACTATTTGGTAGTGAATTGGATGTTGCCTTGGAACAAGAAGAAAAAAAAAACACGCATTATATTTTCAAACACGGATTACTGTTGCAGTGTATGCATTATTTTGATCACTGTATATTCTTGGTTCAGATTTAAATTGACTTTGGAGGTTAGATCTTTGATTAATGCAAATGGTTCAATAATATTAAATGCTTTTGTTTCAAAAATTTCGTCATATTTACAAAATTTGTGAGATAAAATGATTGTTTAATAAAAATTCAAAAAATGATCTTTTTCTCATTTTTTTGTCAAAAAAATAACATTTTAATCTTTTAATATCTTCATAATTCTTTTTTAAAATTTAGTTAAAGAGCCCTATTTCTTGTTTATATGCTGTTGTCGTCCCATTGATTTGCTTCTTTTATTTCTAGAGTCAGCCAATATTTTTTTCAAGAGTTAAATTTTCGTAATGGGTAAAAGTAAAAAACACGGGTTATTTACACCTCTGTAGTTAAATTTTTTTTTTTTTAATTTTAAAGAAGCTAAATTTCAAAGTCACAGAAACCACTTCAGATTAATATGTAGGCGTACTTTTATAATCTTCCAAATTAGTCAAGGGTTATCTAAAATAAAGTCACTCCGATAGATGTATAAGTCAAAACATTGTGGAATTATGCTCTTTATCTCTTGGGATCAAGAAGAACTATTAGATTTCAAAAATTTTAAGAATTTAAAAATTTTGCAGGATCAAATTCTTAATTGTAATGTTGATATTGAAAACCACAATTTAAACATTTATGAAAAGGCTTGTTTTTTTTTCAAAGATTTTTATTAGAAACTAGATAATACTTGACTTTGAAGAAAAATGGTTGGGTTGTGGAAAATACCAAACAGTATAAATAAGGATCTGATCAAGCAAAATTTTTAAATTCTTAAAATTTTTGAAATCTAATAGTTCTTCTTGATCCCAAGAGATAAAGAGCATAATTCCACAATGTTTTGACTCATACGTTCCCTTTAATGTTTTTTTTTTTTAGATAATCTGTAAATAATAATTTGTAACATCTCACTCAGAACATTTTATGTTGCTTTTTAAAGAATCTTTTTTTTAAACAACTTTTTTCAGTTTTTCAATACCAAAAAGTAAAAAACAAATCATTTATATAGATTTAAATTGGTTTCATTGAATGGTTCTATGGTTATTCCTTTCTTTTAAATTCATTAAATAAACGGATTTAATTATAAAAAGGATTGTGCATGATTTAAAATCACCTAATGCTTATCGAAAAAGAATTACAATTTTCACGAGAAGATGACGGTTTTCAAATCCTTCATATCCTCACAAAAATGATCATTTTTACTAAACGAAAATTCAAAAGGATTGACATTGTTAAAACAGTTAACTGAATAACAATACCTCACTTTTCATTCAATTTGGAAATAATTTTGATTTTCGCAAAATAATTAAACACATAATTAATTTTTAGTTTTCATTTCATTTTTTCAATACGTAATAATCTTCATTCCAGAAAATTAGACACACCCAAAATCAAAAATAGGAAAAAAAAAATCCCATAATTTATTAAATTTTGCAAAACCTAATATTAAATCAAAACCAAGTTACTCACAATTAAAGTTTTTATATGGAACCCTTTTTAACCAAATAAAAGAAAAAAAAATATAAATAAAGAAAAAAAAAATCTCAATGTCCAAAATTTTTGAAACGATCAGAACAAAAAATGTATCGGTAAATTTGTTGAAATTTCACCAACAATTAGAGTTCAATCAAAGATTAGATACCATCGACAAATCTTATATATATTATTTAAATTGAACTCAACTAGAAGCAAATTTCAACCATTAGAAAAACATTTTCCCGGTCTAATGAAACAGATTACGTAATTTGAAAAAAGAAATGGAAACAAAATACAGAAAAAGACAAAAAATGATAAAAATATTTGCTAAAAATCCAAATTATTTCCAAATTCAATGAAAAGTGAGGTATTTTTATTCTTTAAACTGTTTTAACTGTATCCAGATTTTTGAATTTAATTTATAATAATATAGTCAGTTCCACTTTTAAGGCATGAACTTTCATCAAAATTTAAGGAAAAAAAATTCCAAATTAAGGGGTTAGCCTCACCATAGATTCGTCTATAATCAAAATCTGTTGGAATTATGTGTAAATGGTATTAGTGCTAAATACCTCACAAGACTCTAAAAAATCTATTAAAAACCTTATTGCACAATAAATTATTCCATTTTTTACAATGATCATTATTAAAAAAGTTGAATTTTGGATTTTTTTTTTTTTAATTCCTTTTCAAATCTAAAAATAGAAACCCAAAATATTAAGTATTCCAGTATTTAATAATTCATATTTAGAACTTCCAAAAGAAACCATTTTTTTTAATTTTTTAATTTCAAAGATTAACTCAATAATCATCAAT